CATTAAAAAGACAATTCTACCCTTATTCATGTTTAATAATTACAAAAGTATATCAATTGTTTAAAAGACAATAATACCCTTAATAGTTTAAATAAATTCTGTTACTTCCATACGTTAATTTCAAAATCAGTTTTGGTTATCAGTTTCTCCAATACAGTAAAAAAGAATTTTTTCCTTCCATCTGCTAAAATATTGAAATCTCCCAAAATTATCAAAGGTTCAAGAAAGAAACAATACTCACAGTCGGCACTAGAAATTGGTAAGTGTAAATACGTATTTTGAATTTTGTTTTAATTAAATTTACTGTTTGAATCTGTAAATAATTATTTTGAGAAAGGCAGATGAATATTACAGTATTTAAACACAGATTTATAATTTTTTATAGCAAAAACAACAAAAAATTCATCTCTGTATGCATATATTTTACAGGAAAAATTTATAGGTGTCTGTAAAATAAATATTTAAATATTATTTCGTTGAAAAAGGGAAAAAATAAAAAATTCGAGCGTAAATTTCAGATGAAACGGACGAAAAAAGTTGGGCCAAATGTTTCCAACCGGCCCAATTGTCGGGGCCGGATGGAAACAGCCGGCTCAGTTGTCGAGGCTGGCTGTTTCCAGCCGGCCCAACCCGCTTTTTTTTTTCCCCTTCAGATTTTAGAATTTATTTGTTCATTAATATATGTTTATTGAAATAAATATTAATAAATATTTAAGTACTAATTGAAATAAATATTTTTGAAACAATTAAAATAATCAATGAATTATTTAAAGTATTAAATTAAATTAAATATGAAATGAACAATTTAAAAAATTATATATTAATTCCTTATTTTTAATTTGTGGCAGATATGGCATTAGCATGTGTCCCAATTTGTTACTTTGGTGAATTTCAAATGAATGAAAATGCTCAGTGAGAATGGAAATGAACGAGTGAAGGAGATGGGGTTAAAGCAATTTTTATAACAAGGAGTACATCGTTCGCAGAAATATACAGTGATATACAAAACATGCTTAACGTCGATCCCTCTCAGTACGATATGAAATTGGGATTTTTGTTTCATAAGCATTCAACCATTTCAATTCCACCTATGAACGTTACTTCTGAAGTGGAAATGAAACATCTAATTAAATTGAACCAAGGCCGGAAGTCAACTCCTATTTGCGTAACTTTATTGGGGAAGAATGTCCACGAGGGGGAACACGAAGTTTCAAATGAAGAGAATCGTAATGTAAATGATGTTTGGGATACAATTCAGATTGTTCCTGAAAATGATGTGGTTATTCCCGAGACCACTGCTACTCACCATGGTCACACTGTTACGCACAGAATTCCATCGATAGTTGAAGACAACGAGAATGAAAATGCATTTACAAACGAGGATTTAATTGCTTTATCTCGTAGGAGACATGAGTCGGGTGGGAACTCACAGGCCGGACCGAGTACACGGTCCTCTAATTGTTCGCGTGTAGTTCCCGATGATGAAGATGTATATGTCGAGCAACTATTCGAATCAAAGAAAGAATTGCAAGAAGCTGTGCACCGGATTGCTTTAAAACATAACTTCGAGTTTAAAGTGAAGAAATCAAACAAGTCGTTATACACAATTATCTGCGTTGACGACAGTTGCCATTGGCGTTTGCGAGCGACTAAGATGGACACGAATGAGTTCTTTGTAGTTCGTAAGTATGTACGGGAACATACTTGCGAAGTGGGTATTCGTCGAAATGATCATAGGCAGGCCCGATCATGGTTCATTGGTCGAGAAATAATGCACAAGTTCCAGGATACACGAACGATCTACAGACCTTCGGACATCATTAATGATGTTCGACGAGAGTACGGGGTGGTCATGAGCTATCAGAAGGCTTGGAAGGCTAAAGAATGTGCATTGGAGGATTTGATGGGTTCGGCTGAGGAGAGTTATGCGAAATTAGCCAGGTATTTCATTGTTTAAGTGTTTATTTCTTTATTATAGTAAATTTTAATTATTTAATTTCAATTGTTTATTTATATGTAATTAATTATTTAATTGAATTGTTTATTTTTCTGTTCATTTAATATTTAATATATTATCTAAATTATGATTATTTTTATTTACATTGGCCAGGTATTGCTATAACATGGGAAGAATTAATACTGGGTCGGCATTTTTTATTGAGAAGGATGACGAAAATCGCTTCAGATATTTCTTTATGGCCCTTGGACAATGTGTTCGAGGATTTCGAAATGCAATGCGACCCCTAATCTTAGTCGATGGTACAACCCTTAAGGCGAGATACGGGGGCAAGTTGATTATTGCAACATGCCAAGATGCGAACATCCAAATTTACTCTCTTGCGTTCGGCATAGTCGACGGAGAAAATGATGTAGCAATGAGTTGGTTTTTCACGAAGTTGAGGGAAGTAATTGGAGATGTCGAAAATCTTGCATTCGTAACCAATCGAGGGCAGTCAATAATAAATGGTATCGTCGAAGTCTTCCCTGAGGCACATCATGGTTATTGTATGCACCATATACAGGGAAACTTGAAGACCAGGTATCGAGGCAATAGCGTCGTTGCGTTCTTTAGGAGAGCTGCAAAGGCTTACAGTTTTGAAGAGTTTGATAAGTTCATGGTCGAAATAGACAGTAAATCGCATGCTGCATGGGAGTATCTAACAGAGATGGGGATTGAACATTGGGCACGATCACATTTTCCAGGACGTCAATACAACATGATGACGTCGAACAATGCGGAGTCGCTTAACGCTTTATTCAAGAAAGATCGAGAGTTACCAATTCTTGCAATGATTGAGAACATTCGTGACAAGTTACAACAGTGGTTTCATGATCGACGTGAGGAATCACAGAGTTGTGCAAGTGTGCTAACCCCGGCTCAAGAAGATAAGCTCTTTAAGACTCTAGATGTGGCAGGAAAGGTATATGTAGAACCACTGGATCAATTTCGCTTCTCCGTGAGATGTGCACGTAATTTCGGATACATTGTGGACTTGAATGATAACACGTGCACGTGTAGACGGTTTCAGTTAGAGAGTTTTCCACGTACACATGCAGTGGCAGTGGCTATGCATAGAGGATTACCACCACACACCTTATGCAGTGTGTATTACATGACTGATTATTGGAGAGCAGCATATGCGGAAACAATATTTCCTGTACCAAATGAAGTCGAGTGGGAAGTGCCCGACCACATTCTCCCACTGAATAACTTGTTGCCACCAGCAGTTGGACCACGTACTTCTGGACGTACACGTACGTCTAGAATACCATCTACCGGAGAGTTTCCCCAGCCTCGTAAGTGCGGTAGGTGCAGTGCAACAGGACATACTAGAAGATATTGTACAAATCAGATTTCTCTACATGACAATGTAACGGATGTGTAATTTTAATAACTATTGGCAATGTAATTATTTATAACATTGACGTTAATTATTTATGCATATTTTTTATTCGAATTATTAGATTTAGTATTTTTTTCAAACATTTCATTCATTACATTCATTTGTTATGCATATTATTTATGTTAATTATTTGAAATCGAAACTTTTTCTAGAAACTGCATTATACAGTAGGCTACATTGTAAAATAAATATTTAAATATTGCATATGCAATTAACATTTTACAATTTTTTCGTAATTACAAGTAAATGAATGAATTGTACAATGTTTAAATAAATGTAAAAATATGTACAATTATTTACGGATCCCCATTAAATTCAAATAAATCACATGCTAGTTTATTTCTCTAATTTTGTATCCATGCCTGGTTGATTGCATCAACCTTATGTGTCACACTCAAAAATTCTATGTACTTGATGACGAACATGCCGCAATCACCCCTACAATTAAACAATGTTGTATTAGCACATCGAAAATTAGTTAGAAACTAAGATGTAAATGACAGAAAGAAAATTACAAACACTTACGATATTTGTTGCCTTGTCGTCATCGTGTTCCTCACGGTGGCTAATCTGTCTTGTACAGTGATGTTCGCTCGTCTAGCTATCATGGGAACGATCACAGATAACGACTCTAGATTTTGCTCGAGCTGGCCTTGTGTCAGGCATGAATGATCCGGGTCGTACACATACATCGTGGAGTCGGCGAATACGATTTCCACTGCAATGTAGTGATGATTCAGACATACTGGTACGTACATATGCGTACAGCCATCCTATGGCTTTCCACCGACACTCGGCCATATCCCTACGACCCATTCCATCATATATTCCGGTACCGTGTACTCGCTACCCATAGCCTGGAACGATTGGTACTCAATGTCAACGGCACGGATGAACTCGGTGTTCAATATGAGTCTGCCAGGAATGTTGAGGGATTTTGGATGTCTTTCAGCACGATCCCGTAGCAAATCCATGCTCAAGTCGATGTGCTACATCAAGAAACACCAATAAAGAAAGGAGTTAATCTATGAATTTCATTCAAAAAATTGATTTTGAACGTACATAATAAATAACAATATTTTCATTTTACTTACATCGTCGGCGAGCCAAGCCCCCGAAGTGGTGATGTCGTGGAACCACTTGTAAGCATTTGAGATCGTCTTCTCAGCAATCGTGCGGCTGGCCCTGAAAAAATAAGAACAAAATTTTTAGTTATATGAAGTATACATGTGTCAGCGTCTGCGTACTATAGTAATTACATAAAATACAAAACTGACCCATGCTGCAGTGCTCTCCACTCTGTCTCAAAGACTTTCCACTTGGCGTGGTCCACCTCCCTGAATAAATTCGGGTGCGTCCCGTCGACGAACCTTCTCCTCTTCGCCTCCGCGGTAAAGGGAGAAAGAACGTACTGTGATGGCACCCTTGGCCTCTTGCCGATCACCCGCTCCTCATGCGCCTTGGGAATCTCCATCTCCCCAGCCATCGGGACGACCCCCTCGCCCGCTGTCGGGACCACCTCCTCCGACACAAAGACCACGACCAGCGAGTCTGGCGTCTTCTCGGGTACCACCTCCACCTCCGGTACCCTCTCCTCCTCCAGTATCCCCTCGGCATCCCGGGTATCCCCTGCACGGGTACCACCTCCACCTCCAACTCCGATGCCCCCTCGACGTCCTCGGGTATCCCCTGCACGAGCACCCCCACCTCCGATACCACCTCCACCTCCATCTCCGGTACCCTCTCCTCCTCGGGTACCCCCTCCACGTCCTCAGGTATATCCTGCGCAGGCACCCCCTCCACCACAGGTATTCTCTCTCGCTCCTCCATCCCCATCGTGTCATCTAAAAGTGAATCAAATGCAGCAACTGATGGCCACGATGAGTCAACATACCCCATCTGACCCCCTCCCCCCTGATAACCACCGACCCCTCCGTCCCGATAACCGCCAGTCCCTCCGTCACCCTCTCCGTCCCGATAGTGACCTGTCCCTCCGCTACCTCCTCCATCTCGATAATCGCTCGTCCCACGTAGGCCTGCTATGTCACCCCGCATCGCTGCAATCTCAGCATGGAGGTCTCCTAACCCAACTCGTAACATCGCGACATCATATCGTAACTGTGCCATGTCCCCGAACTCAGCTCGTAGTGTCACGACATTATCCCGTAACTCTGCCATATCTCCTCTCATCTTCATCAGGAGGTCGAACAAATCAATCGTCGAAGCACGGGGACTAGGTGCAGGAGGCGATACTGGACGGCCCTCCTGAAAAAATAATTATTACAAATGAATAACCTAACAAATAAAATAAAACGACAATCAAAGAATTATTTTTAAGTAACATACTCTATCTCGATCAACGTTGGACTCAGGCATCTGAACCTCTGGCGTAGCTGGACGTGATCTTCTCAGCGGAGGTGACATCCTCGCTGGACTTGCTCTCCTCGGTGGAGGTGATATCCTCAACGGAGGTAATACTGAACTATCCTCTTGAAAAAATAAATATTACAAGTGAGGCACTTAATTACAAGATCGAAGCGATATTCAATAAATCCTGCACAGTGACATACCCTATCTCGATCCATCCTGGACTCAGGCATCTGATCGTCATGCGCAGTACGAAGAGGCAATTCGCGAATATAAAACTGACTCTCCTCCTCGATCGACGGTGCCAACTCAGTGAGAACTTCAAGCTGTCATTTTCATATGTCACAGTTAATGACTATGTATTCAGATTGTAAAAGAACGTACAACATAAATAGTAATTGTATAATCGTACCTCAGGATCGTCGAGAAGAGCCGATAACTGTCCGGCAAGCGGCTTGTCTTGTGCTCGCCGGTGATGCATCCGAGGATAGCGTGTCTCTCCTCTCCTCGCATATCGACTGGCCAAGATAGGGACAGTCTTGTACACCCATATCTGAAACAATTACAATTATTATGTATAGAATTTAATAAAAAAAGTGTAGGTAATTCATTAACTTAAACATATACCTGCAACGCCAACGGCAATCCATATGCATCGTACTTGCGCTCGGGCTTATCTCCCTTTGGCATTGAAAACCCCCTCCTAAACACGCGTAATGTATCAAGAAAACATCTCCAACCCCATGGGTAGTTGTTGAAGGCATCAATATCTTCAACAACCTTCAAATGAAAAATGTCAATTGATGTCTTCTTGTGATGACACCGGAGTATGCTCTCGATGATAAGCACCAATCCTAACTTCAACCTATCAGACATCCGATCACATCTCCTTAATGCATCTCCTAGCAGCGCTAGAGTAACTATCGTCTGTCCATGAAAATATTCGTTCAACAGCCTCCTGTTCCTCGGAACACAGGCCCTCGCCTCTGCATCATCCGTACATCGCAGTCCAGTGACGAGAGCAAACTCAAATATAGAGAACGTGGTTACCTTGCCCCCAAGATCAAAATGGAGGACGTCTCCGTCAACTGGCTTCAGCAAGCGACATAATAGGGCATCCAGCAGCTGCCCAGACCACTGTACGTCACGCAACGAATACAATGGCCATAAGCATGATCGACGTAATATATCTGCGTGATCATCGTCCAGCAAATCCAATACCAAAGCGAAGCTGGTAAAGTTACAATTCGAGGTAACTTTACCAGGGATCTGTCTGACAGCGTCGTCCAAATGATATTCCATCCTAGAAAATTTTAAATATTAGGATCCTATGCAAATAACGTTCGATAAACAAAATATTAAAAAATTATACTAACACACTGCTACTAGATGCAATAACCAACCGATAACGGAATAAACAAAATGAACGTAAATTACTATTTTCCATATACTTAATTTGCTAATTTGATCGTTTATTTTAATATTTTAATTGCTTATTTTAATTATTTATCTAACACTAAATTAACTTTTTCATTTTTAATTAATGTTTTGACACTTATTTTAATTCTTTACGCATATCGCTTATTTCATATTTACAAATTTATTTCATATTTCTTTTAATAATTTTAATAACACTTATTTTGATCGTTTATTTTAATAGTTTAATTATTTTTCTAACACTTAATATACTTTTTCATTTTTTATGAATGTTTAAATGCTTATTTCAATTATTTACGCATAATGCTTATTTCATATTTACAAATTTATTTTAATTGCTTTGCAAAAAAATAATTTGATTGATATTTTAATTTTCAAATTTAATTGCGTATTCCTTTTTTTTTTTTTATGATTATTTATATATATATATATATATAATATCTGCGTGATCGTCGTCCAGCAAATCCAATACCAAAGCGAAGCTTGTAAAGTTACAATTCGAGGTAACTTTACCAGGGATCTGTCTGACAGCGTCGTCCAGATGATATTCCATCCTGCAAAATTTCAAATATTAGAACCCTATGCAAATAACGTTCGATAAACAAAAATATTAAAAAATATATACTAACACACTGCTACTAGATGCAATGACCAACCGATAATTTACTTTTCAAATTTAATTGCGTATTCCTTTTTTATATATATATATATATGTTATTTAATATTTAATTATTTCTTTAATTATTTTACTATCACTTATTTTGATATTTTAATTGCTTATTTTAATTTTTTTTTTCTAACAGTTAATTTAGTTATTTATTTTTAATGAAGTTTTAAAACTTATTTTAATTATTTACAAATGTTTAATTATGTATTTAAATTCTTTATATATATCTTATTTAATATTTCATATTTTAAAATTAATTTAGTAATACTTGTTTTTAAATGCTTATTTTAATATTTTAATTATTTTTCTAGCACTTAATTTAGTTTTTTAATTTTAATGAATGTTTAAATACTAATTTTAATTCTTTACGCATAATGCTTATTTCATATTTACAAATTTATTTTAATTGCTTTTCAAAAAATAAATTTCTTTGCTAATTTACTTTTCAAATTTAATTGCTTATTTTTATTATTTTTCAAATGTTTAAATATTTTTTTCAATTCTTTAGATATATTAATTATTTAATATTATATTATTTCTTTTAATTTTTTTACTATTACTTAATATAAAATAATTAATTAATCTAAATTAGCAACTAATAAATATTTCAATAAATAATATAACATTTACATCTTATATTTATTAATAATTTTAAATACATAATAAACATTCAAATTAAGCAGTTCAAATAAATAATTACATATTAGATAACACAATATAAGCCATTAATAATTATTTAATTAACTTCAATAATTACCGAAAAAAAAGAAAAAAAACAGACGGCCCAGTCAACTGGGCCGACCGGCCCAGCTTCCCAGTTGACTGGGTGCCCAGTTGGGCACAGGCGCCCAGTCAACTGGGCAACCCAGTTGACTGGGCCACCTGGGTACTACTGTGCCCAGAAACTCCATTTCCGGCGATCTCCACTCCTTCCCAAGTAATAACAACCCAAAATTTCATATTTACACAAGAATTTCTCAAGAAATATGTATAAAATCATACTTTTTTTCAAAAATAAAAATATAAACATGGTTTTTTTTTTGTATAAATTTCATACCTCCTTCAGAGGGATTTTGGCCAAGTGGGTCTCCTGTTTTTCCTTATTTGTCGGTGATTGGGTCGACTGTGCTACAGTATTTTCCCGTCTCCTTCGGCTTCTGCTTCGTTTTCAAGTGAGGGTAAAATTGGGATTCTCTTCATTTTTTTTGGTTTTCACTGTTTTTTATAATTTTGCCTTTTTTTTTCATTGGTCAAAGGCCAGTTTGGAAAATTGGCCGGGTCAACCGGCCAACAACCACTAATTCCTCTTTCGCAACATGCTCGCCTGTTTGTTTTCTGGGTCGTGGCCGAAAGGTAAGATCTGGGTACAATGGGACCAGTCAACCCAACTGAAACGGGTGGTCACGTGGATCCGGAAATTTGACGCCAAACAGTATAATCGCTTTTGGTTAAGCTTAGAAGTAAATGAACTAAATTGTCTTATTACTTAATATGCTAGGTATGTTAAACATTCCACCCGACCTAACTTAGATGACATATATTGAGCATCTAGCTTAAACTAATAAGCAGTTACTTGCCATCGAGCCTTCATTAGGAAGACTCAACTACACACGCCAAATGCATGTTGTTATACAAAGTATATTTGACGGCATTCAGAATATTGTGAATCTTTTCTTTTATTATAAAAATATGCATTAGCAACACATTTAGGGGCTTTTTGATAAGCCGGAAAATGGAAATTGAATTCGACCCTAAATCAAAAATGCATGTTTGATAGGTTTTTTCTAGGCAATTCATTTTCCCAATTTCATGCCACCTTAACTATTTTCCACCAAATTGATGAATTTATTTTCTAGGCTGCTAGCTTATTTATTTATTTATTTTTGGCAATGGAAATAAATTTTATTCCTAATTGTAAAAAAATATATTTTTTTAAATTGACAATTTTTATATAAAACAAAGTCAAACGAACACTAAAAGATAGATGATTTTCTTTGCTTTTATTTTTTGCAATGGAAAAATTTTTTATCCTCAATACCAATAAATTCTATCTGTTTAATTGACATTTTTTATGTAAAACAAAGCCAAACAAACAAAAAAAAACTTTTATTTTAACTTTTTCACGTAGAAATTATACCAATCAAACACAATAATTAACAATTTTCAGTTAAACAATTTCTAGGCAATTCAATTCCCTGAAATTCATTTTTTTCCACCCAAATTTCATCTTTACAATCAAACGAACCCTTAATATCATTCATCATGTCAAGACATGTTCAGTTAAGTTGTCGTTCCTTTAGGTCAGTTAAGTTATCACTTCTTGACATTCTGTTGTGCAGGTACATTGCCCGAAATCAAGAATATCATGAAACTCTCTATCATAATTACTCCATTGGTGACATATGAAAGACCACATGACAACAATACAACACAATAGCAAGTCGACTAAAATGGCAACCGAAGCTTAACATAGACATTTGCATTTTTTCCCCAGGCAAATATTCTCGAATGCTTGATTTTAACGTTACAAGAAACTTTGTACAACATCCCTCTATTGTATTCACAACAAAGGGTAATATACCATTCTCGATATATAGACTATTATATAAAAATAATGTTATGTAGCACCAGCGGTGCTAGAACACCGATCTATGTGACATTATGTGCTAGGGTCAATTAAATTTGAAATTATGTGATTCATTTAATGGAACCTGTAATTTAATTACTTCTACTTAGACTACACCAATGATGTTAAATAGCATTATTTATTATACAAATATAATCTATTGCTAGAGATAAAGCTTTGACTCCTATACTTTCGTGGTCATTTTCTAAGGATGGAGCTAGAGAAATCTACATATAGCTGCAGGGTTGCTACCATTTTCTTGCAGCCACGCTCCTCCTGACCAAATACCACTTGAAAAGTATCAATTAAAATGATATAATTTGCTATAATTGTGGATAGAATATATCCACGTTCCTAAAAGAAAATTTGGAAAATCGATTTCCCACAAACCCATGGGAATTGAAATTCCACAAAATCAAGGAAAAAATGGGTCACGTGAGGGGGGATGGAAAATGGAAAATCAATTGCCAAGAATTTTCGCAATCAAATAAGGAAAAAGATGGAAAAATAAAAAATTCCTCAAATGAAACAGGCCCTTATACTATTTATTGATCGTTGGTTCATGTCTTTTTCTTATGATCTATGAATAAAAGCTAACATTGTACGTGTTTGTATGACTGTACAAAAATAGCAACTTATGGATCGGACCATCTTTGTCAAGTCTACCAAGTATTTCAGCATGGTCTAAAATTTGGTGTAGCAGAGCTATAATAGATTCTTAACTTTTGAAAACAACCTTCACAACCTTAATTTATGGAAATTCTTGGCTTAATGACAAGTGTGTCGCCCTATTCCCACGTTCAAACGATTATTGCTTATTAGAGCATGTTTGGGAAAGTGTTTATTAGAAGTAAATTAACTAAATTGTCTTATTTCTTAATATGCTAGATATGTTAAACTTTCCACCCGACCTAGCTTAAATGACATATTGAGCATCTAGCTTAAATTAATAAGCAGTTACTTGCCATCAAGCCTTCACTGGGAAGACACAACTACAAACGCCAAATGTATTTTGTTATACAAGTATATTTGACGACATTAAGAATATTGTGATTCTTTTCTTTTGTTATAAAAATATGCATTAACAACAGTTAGGCCTTGTTTGGCAACCATTTTGGGCGAAAAGTTAATTCATTTTTTGACCGTTGTGTTGTCAGTGGGACCCGTTGTATAGAATTAAGATAATTCTAATTGCACAGGACGCATAAAGACGATTTTGCCATTACTTCACTTACGATGAATTTTATGTGAAGGGGCAACTAAGTAATTTTGCTCCCTGTTAGTCAATAAATGCGACTACTCCTTCAGCAATAACAGGCAAAATTCTTCTAAATATCAATTGAAAATAGCTATCAAACACGGGCTTAATGTCATTCATCAATCATCATGTCAAGCCATGTTGCCATGCCAAAGGGAAACTTTTGTCGGTTAAGTTGCCGTTCCTTGAGGTTCGTTAAGTTATCACTCCTTAAGATTCTGTTATGCAAGTGCATTGGCCGAAATTAGGAATATCATGAAACTTTTTATCATAAGACATATGAAAGACCACATAACAACAATACAACATGGTACCAAGTTGACTAAGACAAAAACCGGAAGCTTAACATAGATATTTGCCATTTTTTTCACAGGCAAATATTCTCGAATGCTTGATCTTATCACCGCAAGAAACTCTGTACAATATCCCTCGGTCATATTCATAACAAAGGGTAATATACCATTCTTGATATATAGACTATTATATAAGAATAATGCTATGTAGCACCAGCGGCACTAGAACACCGGTCTATGTGACATTATGTGATAGGTTCAATTGAATGTGAAATTATATGATTCATTTAATTGAACCTGTAATTCATTCAATTGAACCTGTAATTTAATTACTGCCACATAAAGTATACCAATGGTGCTAAACAGCATTATTCATTGTACAAATATAATCTATTGCTAGAGATAAAGATCTGACTCCCATACTTTGTGGTCATTTTCCGAGGATGGAGCTAGAGAAATCTACATATAGCTGCAGGGTCGCTACTATTTTCTTGCAGCCACGCTCCTCTTAACCAAATACCACTTGACTACAGCCAGAACCTTACACCATCTTGTTTTGTGCTTTCTGTTCCTGGGGACACAAATTCCAGGATTAGAGGAAAAGGTGCCCATTTCTTGGGTAGTTGAACCCAGAAAATCATCCCCTCGGAATGCTGAGGGCTCGATCAGAAAATTATTGGCACTTGGATCATTAATTGACATATATAAGCCCGCATAGTTACCTCCAGAAGCCCAAGTATCTGCTCCCATATAGGATTCGCTGTGAGAAACATTCATTCCAAAACTGTTTCCCGGCACTATATTGAAACCTTTCGTTGGAATATATTCTTGTTCGGCTTCGTAATTATATAGTCGTGAAGTTGTTGGAGGAGCAAGGTTCATCTGCATTTCTAGTTGATATGTAAAGAAAAAAGTAATTTCAGTCAAATCCAAGATAATTTACAGGCTGAGAATAGAAGGAACAAAATTGTTTTCCCCATATAATGGCCATCAAACAGTGGCTTAACAAAACTGATAGTAGCCATTTAGCCAAGAATGTTAAAAATAAAAATTGAAAAAGATAATGAACAGATTATTGTTTGGCACGTCAAATACAATCATTCCACATGTTTAGAGTTATTCATGAGAAGGATCAAGGAAAAAGAAAAAAGGGTCCGACAGTTAATTACCTTGTAGAACTGGAAAGTTAGCATTCTGCATACTTGAAGAAGGATAGTTAAAATTGCCTGCTCCAACACTCGGCAATAGCATCGGGTAGTCAACAGCCGATTGGTCATCAATGGGCACCAATTCCATTAAGTTTTTATAAACATGCTGCTTCAGATTCTCCACAATTTGCTGTCCAACAAATAAGGAAGTCAAATTAAATTCATTTTAGAATATGAAACTTCTTACAAGTAAAAGTATCAAAACATACATACACTGTTCCTTAAATTCTCATAATATTTGAAACGGCATATTTCATGCTATTGAAACAGAAGCACTCCACTCAAGCCAGACAAAGAAAAATCAGGGAAAAAAAAAGGTAAAAAAATTTGAGGATTAAGATACCAACCATCTGATTCATATCGAGTTTATTCAAGGGAAGGTAATTCTGTCCATCAAAAGTAGCTCCTACAAGATCGTAGATGCAGTTGAACAAAAGCCTGATCCCATGTGCATTAATGTAGTAAAATTTGTTGTCCAACTTGCAAGTTGCAGCATGTCCGATGATTGTATCCCACTTCTTGTTTGAGATTTTGAGTAACTACATGTTCAAAATGTAGTGTTAGATGGTTAACCTGAAGAACTCGTCAAGAACACAGAAGTCAATCCACTTAAGTGATTTAATGTCACACAAACGATATCATGAATCGAGTGTCTTACGGAGCGTAATGAGGGCTGGTCTGTGATGTACAACCTCAAAAAGTCTCTGACAGAGAATATATCATTCTGAGCCAACAGTTTATGGGATGGACCACCTTTAGCTATTTTCTCCAAGCGCCATACTTCATCGTCCAAGGATGGAGGGTAGTGTTTCTGGTATGCTAAACAAATAACGATATATCAATAAAAATTTTGTCAAAGTTCATCAGTAAACAAAGTTTACTCAAAATTTCGATGGTGCAATTAGAAGAAAAACATTCTATGCTTATCAACTAAACAAATACTTAATTTCATTTACCCTCAACATTCTCCCCAATATTAGCCTCGAATAAAATATTATGTAGAGCTCCAAGAATAACAAAACAAAAAAGAAATCACCCTCTTTGTTAACCAAACACTCGCTGATAGAAAATGGTTCAGAAGAATTACTTACACTCTCCACGATGATCTTTGACTTTGAAGGCTTTGCTTATTCCTTCCCTTATAGTGGAATTAGCATTCGGTTTCAAACCCAACCTAAATCTTCCACTCCTAATCCAGCTTGAATTATCAGTGAAGCTGGCTTCACCAATACAACCTACTCCCTCTTTCAATTGGACTGACAATTCTCCAGTGACCAACGGCCTTTTTCCTTCCCTATTCGGAACAATTTTACTCACAAAATCTTTCTCTGTCCAGTTGTTCTGATCATCGGGACTAAAATCACCATCAAGAACAACAATATCGACCTGTAGTGAAGATAAGGGCCCTGATGTTATTAAGTTCTTAGAACCTGAATCATACAGAGCAACTTTGACCGGTACTCTGTCTTCAGATAGTATCCTATTGCCTGTGAAAATGGTACCAGGCAATTCACAGTCAAAACGCAGCTGCAACGTTCTTGATCCAGAGCTCTCGATTTGATTTTGCGAGGGTCTACAAGAAACATTTATAGCCATTTTAGAATATTAACGAAGTACGGAGTAGAAAAAGATCACTTGGTGATTAAAACATAAGTGAATAGACAATAATAATCACAGTTAATTATTGCTATAGGCTGAATCAACCATGGAAACTGATGGAAGTTAATTAAAATGGGTTGCAAAGTGATGATTGAAACATTATATTTTAATTTTTCAAGAAGTATAAGTAATGCATAAAATTATTGGACTTGAGATAATTGACGGATGGACTAACCTCAGCAATGGATTGATTGCACGTTCAACTTCTTCTCGCACCTATTAAGACAATAAAATAGTGAATATAGAGAGTAAAAAAAAAAAAAAAAATGCGCTCTAACTTGCACATTTCAGCCACTTCTTATCTGAAAATCAACATTTAAATAAAGGATCCAGTATAGAAACATAATTAACTTAAAATATGCAAAATCTTTCACAACTTATGTGAAAGAATTGAGGTCTGGCAACCAAACTTCGATTTCATAAAGGAATAACCAGAAGTGTAAATACAGAAGGGAAATAAGTCAAATTATCAAAATCTTGTCAAAAACTAAGGTTCATTATTAGCACAAACAAATATATAATATTTCACAAATACAAGAGTAAAATCTTCTTCAATACGATAAACTTGAAAAGAACAAAAGATCATGCCACATTCCGAAAGATGGGTTCCAATATGAGCACGAGTTCTTGAACAGCCTGACCGTTCTCCGGCTCTCCGAAAGCACTGCACATACCATGTATAAGAGAAACAAAATCAGCAAATAAATAGACAATACGAAACAAAATCTTCAAATAAATGAATTATAAACATAATTCACCCACGATGCAAGAAAATGCTGGCGTTTATTAAATTCACGATCAGGAAGTTCAGAACTTTCCCCACTCCCGTCCCTAAATTGCCGTTTCAGTACCATCAAAAACTCAAGATTCGCACAGCCTAAAAAGAACTGATTTAGAGATTATCAAGGGCAGGCAACTTCCTCTCTTTTTTATAGATGTCAACAGTGATCAAGAAACTACCCAGGAAGCTTCAATTTTTGATTAAAAAATCACACAGATCACGAAAGTCAAGCACATATTCCATACATTTTAACCATCTTCTAACATTGGCCCGCCCACAAATCCAATGTGTTTGTGTGTAGGTATGTTTGTCTCCAGGCCTGTGGGGTCTGGTATTAAATTTCTTGGACAATCAAGATTCAGATATTCGATGATATAAAAGGGATTTTCAACACGCTTCAATATAGTTATCATTTTGTTCTATATACACAATCTTGACTTAACCATAAATAATGGAGATTCTACAACTAAAAACATCACATTCATATGAACAACCGCGTAAAATTTGAAAGGTACTGATAGAGTACAAATCTAGGAAGCACGAAAACAAGTATAATGAGAAAAAATAATGCCAAAAGGAGAGAGAAACAAGACAATGCAACGCGGTACAGAGTAAAACAGAAGCTTGGCGGAATATTCGTCACGGCGAAGCACACGTAGAACTAGAAGAGAAACGGTCGCCCTTTCAACTGAATAAATTAAAAGCCAAAGAAAGACTTGCAAAGTCTTCGTGTGCGAGTGTGTGTTATGGTGTTTATAGTGTTAAATACGGTCACTAAAATTTTGATTAATTACGTGGTCATCGAAATTATTCTTTTAAGATGACAATAACAATTATTAATTAGTCAATTTCTAAAAATTATATTTATGATTAAGAGCATTAACATTCTATATGTCCGATTTAATCTAATTTCTACTTTTCATAACTGAATTTTAAGTACACGACTGAATTTTAAGTATATGCTTAAAATTATATTTATGATTAAGAGCATTAACATTCTACATATTCCAGCATTGATTTTTCTAGTCAAGATGTCCAATTATGTCTGGCTTTCATAAATAGTGTTGTTTAAATTAAAATATCGTATAATCAAGCTGTCAATAGATGTGACCACCTTCGCATTCACCTTTACACTAACTCAATATTAGAGGTAAATGCCGTCATTCACGAAAAAATCTGACTATCGTTTTTCACTCCAATGATTGACTGAGTGCAAGAGATATGTGAAAAGAAATTTAACTGGAGGCAAAATGTTGTCTCTTAAACCACGCATACGTCCATGAAGAGACTTCGACCCAATTTGATCGATCCAATCATCTAATCATGATCACTCAATTCGACTTTATTTCACTATGACCGTCCAATTTCATATAACGTTTCACCATGTTTATCCAACTTCTTTCACAATTTTCACTAATTTTAAAAGGGGTAAATCGGTAACCTTGCATTATATATATAAGGTTGGGTGGCCATTGATGGAATGAATGATGAGCCTCTTAGTTATTTGCCTTGAGTCAGGTGGATAATTTTGTAAATTAAATTTTTTTTCTTGGGTTATATTTTTCCTTTTTTTGCATGTTTAATTGAAAATATAGAGTTTTACAAAGAAGAAAAATAAATTAAAATTTTAATTAAATTACTGTTCAACAGCAGTTTTCAAAAGCTAAATTAAAATTTATTTAATTCATTGTTTGATCAATATATTAATTATGCCATACATGTTAGTTTTTGTTTCATGAGTTTCGAGTTCTTTGTTTAGACTACTTTTTGTAGCGAAAACACAAATAGATATGATACAAAATTAGAATGCTTATTGGCCATCTTTGACGACTCTCTCTTATTTTGTTGAGTTGCTTTATTTAACTCTGTTGAATTTCATATAGGAAAGATTAGGGGTGCCAGTAAATTTTAAATGACTCGACTTACCTGTAAAAGGTTTTTATTAAAATTGTTTATCGAATTGTCTTTCGAGTAAAATTTAAACGAGCATTTGATGAGCCAAAATTATAGTGGCCTGGTTAATTTATATTCCATAAGGAGCTAGTTAACCATTCGAGTTTGAGTTTGGGAACTCTGTAAATTTGAAAATTATTTTGAGCGTGTTTTAGGGTTCTTTCGGGTCAAGTTTAAATTGAATTTTCAATTTTTCACAAAGCAAGTTCAAATCACTCTGGATTCACTCAAAGTTAATTGCAATACTAAACAATAAAAGATACAACAAAAATAAATTGAGAATTTTGAGGGCATTGTTAAGTGATTTTCGAATTGAAGTGGGTTATTTCAAAAATAAGAAAAATCTCATGGAGACAAGTTGCAATTAGTCATTGAAATTCAACTCAAAGTCATTGAATACGTGCATGAATAGGAGGTCACGCTTCAAAGAATTCTATACGCATTACAGAGTTTAATGAGTAATTTACTTCATTGAAAAATCGAGTTATTTATATAATAATAACAGAAGAGTCAAAAGGGAGGACACGTAACCTATTAAATACATTTATTTGATAGCCCAAATATATTTTTTAATTTCTTTTTTAGTTTTTAATTAATTATGTCATTATCACCCATGCATGCTTTGAATATGCATTCAAATTAGTTAATCGCTTTCTCTCCAAAATTGCCTGGAAACGAGGTTTGTTAATGTAACTATTACATCTGAGGGCATAAAAAGATTGAGATCTAGATATCTGTACTTACCATAGTTTGTTTAGTGGGAAAGTCGAGGTAATTATCAACCGTGTTTGACTAAACCTAAAGAAAAGAAAATTTAATTTTATGCAACTTCTAGACCTTAATGTAAGACTTAATTAAAACTACATTCTACTTAGTCCATGTTTGGCAAAGAATTTTTGAAAATAAATTTTGTGAAATTTTATTTTATTTTATTTTTTTAAGAATGCTTGATTAAAGAGTAGAAAAAACTATAGGTCTACGTGTAGAATAACTTTAAAAGGAGAATGAATGATTGAAAATGCGTTTTAGAAAATGGAGACCAAACATGACTTATTGACAAAATAAATAACTTATTAATTTTTAATGTTTACCAATAAATAGAATGATTTTACCTTAGAACTTATTTTTTACATATGATTAAACATTTTAAACTTAGCCAAACATGCATTAAGCTTTGAGGGTACAAAGTAGAAGTACTAAGTAACTTCTTGGATTAAACCCCAAAGTTTCTTGGTAATTTCTTGAAAAGTTTGCTTGCTTTGTGTTTGACTTATTGTCACCAGGAAAATTAGTTGCATTGATATAGCAATTGTTTCTTTTAGGTTGGATTGGATTGGATTGGATGGGATGGGATGTGATGGGGGCACTAGTCGAGTTTCAAGATTTTGTTGATTGGAATGATCGAATATTTCGAACTAGTACAATATGAAGTAAATCTTATCATAGGTACTGCACAAGAGTAGTCTTGAATTAATAAGCTGTGAAAATGTAATCCCATCCCTAAAATTATACATGAGTTGCATACGTTGTATATATGAGGTGCGATATAAAAGGTATTTAAAAGGTGGATATGATTTTATTTTTGTGTATCATTGCGTTTCTTTATTTACGAAGTACACACTAATAAAAATATGACCCTCTCTCGAGAAAATAAAAATAAAAATCATTTAATCTGAAATATGATTATATTAGGATGAATAATGATTATTCATTTTGCATGGTTGGACCAACCCAATCCAACATCATAGTCGACAAGCCCAAGCCCAAGCCCCACCCATGCTGAATTTTGGTCATGGAGAAATTCTAATTCAAGTTCACTTTTCAAATTCTAATTCATTACTACGAGGTAAGTTCCTACATGCTTGTGGTACCATGATGTCATGTTTCAATCATTGATTATATTATTTAGGCTTTTTCAAAAATCTAGTGTTCGTGTTTGACCTAAACCATGTTGAGATGCTTCACGAGAGATGAACTCAAATGAACGTTCACATAATGTGCAATCGTCATGATCATAGAGTCATTTAACCCACTGTTTGTGTCATACATATAGAATGAATAAAGAGTACATGAAAAATGGAGGAAAAATGCCTCAGCTACAATGAATAACAAACTCGGCTATTATTTAGCCTTACGGATAAATTGAAATAAAAATTGAAACAAACATTAACATAACCCACATTTAATAACTGCTACAACGTGGTAAGATGACCAAATCAACAAATGACAAAGATCCCAATTAAAAGGAAAATAAGACATCGTGATAATTGACTAATTAATCAATAAACTAAAACCAACATTTCCTCCCTTAAACTGAATGGTACAAGCTTCAGTTTACATTAGTCTCAAAACAAACTCCCAATTGTCCTCGCAACTTGACAAAGTATTCAGCTTGAGTGGCTTTGTTATTATATTAGCCAGCTCGTGTATTACAGTGTATTAACTTTACAGTGCCATTCTTTCTAAGTTCTCAAAGAAAATGAAAATGAACATCTATGTGCTTGCTCTGACCATGCATTACTGGATTTTTTGAGAGCTTTATTATAGAGCTACTATCACACATGACTTTGTCTTGATTTTGATCCAACTTTCTCAACACACTTTTTAACCATCTTGCCTAACATGCAAATGAAGTTGCAGCGATCAACTCTGTCTTTGTGGTGGATATACTCACCACTTGTTGCTTTTTTGATGGTCAAGATAATGCCCCCGAACTCAATAATAAAATATAACCATAAGCGTTCTTTCAATCTTCCAAAACACTAGTATAATCACTGTTAGTGTGAGCAAGAAGTTTATCATCTCCTCCTTTCTTATAGAAAATCCCAAAATCAATTGTTTCTTTTAGATAACATAGCACTCTTTTTCCTGCTTGCAAGTGTAGCTCAGTAGAATTCTCCATATACTTACTAATTGTTGACACATAAAAATTCAGCCCAAATCGAACGGCCCAAGGAATGAAGCTCAATTGGAGGATCCCCAAATCAGAAAGCCCAAAGAACGAAGCCCAATCAAACAAATCAAGATGAAGGCCCAAATAGGGAGGCTCAAGAATGAGGTAACGCCATCGCCCAAATTTGCAAGTCGCCCAAAATTTGAGCGAATGGAGTGCCATATAGTCGCCCAGGGCTGTTACTCTATTCTCGCCCAAACCTTCAAGTCGCCCAAGGTCTTAACAAACATAAAGCGTTGTCGTTATCAAGACGTGCCGTTATCAAAGCAGTTATTAAAGCAGTCCTATCACATTCCACGATTCAAGGAATTCAATCGAAAGCGGTTGAACGACGAAAAGTAATTGCAGCAGTTAAAAAAGGCAGTTTTCATGACAAGTTGGTCATTACGAGGAAAGTGGGCAGTTATAGGACGATCAAGGGTTTTTAGGCGGTTGATTACAAAGAAATCGTCTATGAAGTATAAAAGGGAGAAAAAACATAGAGCAAGGGACCGAATCAAAAACTCTCGAACAGAGAACATGTAATTTTAATTTCCTTAGCTTAGACTTAAACACTGTTTTCAGTAACTTGTGTGCTTGTGCCCCTTGGAGGCACTTTGTTTTTAATTTTCAATTGTAAAGTCATAGCCAATAAAAGAATACCCCTTTTTGGGACTTTGTCTCAAGAGGTTTGTCCCTTACACAA